GTAAAAAATGTTTAAAAACCCTAATGTTTTAGGGCTCCTAACTAAATGTAATCCCTTAAATAGCAGCCAACACGAAATTATTTTTGTTAACAAAGGCAGACAAGTGTATTTCTATTAAAAACAGAGAAATAATTTGCAATTAAATAGTTTCTTTCTGTTAATGAAAAGGGGTTTCCAATAGGGGTGATTTGATTTCTCAGTGTCGTTTTTGCCATTTTAAATATGTCATGATCTGTCATTTTTGTATAGTTTTCAATAATTCAGTTTACAATTCCATCATGGCAAGATACACGCAAGAGCAACATTTAAAAACAACAACTTGAAAACGATAACGGATTTTGTTATAAGTTTTTAGTGAGCGAAGGTCTGATTTTTTGTACGAATTGAATATTTTTTTGTTACACAACAAAGAAACATGGTAGAAGAGACAGCTGTTCTCCGCTTAGTATCACTTACATCTGAATGGTGTGGTAAATAAAAAAAAAACTTTCAATTCTGTTGCGAAAAAAATCCACAAATTATTTATGAACAACCATCACTTTCACCTAAATTGATTGTGAGGTGCGGTTTTTGGTCTGGTGGAAACAGCGGTCCGCGAAGAGATCGAGAGAAAAAAGGGTGGCGCATCATTAATTTTTTTAAGGCCTGGGTCCTCTAAAAAATATTCAAACAATACTTCCCCTAAATTTCTAGAAAATATTCTTAGAAATGAAATAGAATTAGTCCCGAAGGCTCGCAATGTCTTGAAGTAAGTCAAGTCTACTATCGACAAGTACTCGAAAGATTGCGAAAACAAGTAAACAGGGTGCGCTAAGACATCGCTCGTAACTGGATTCTTCATCATGACAGCACGCCGTGCCACACCGCCTTCAGCGTGTCCCAATACTTGGCCTCTATATGGATCGGCGATTTGCAACAACCGCCAAAACAAAGATCGAACAATATATAGTATTTGGAAATGGTATGCGGTCAAATAAGTGACATAATGTATGTGTATAACAGAAAATTAAATACTACAAATTATACTAGCGAGCTAATTTTGCTACAAATTTCAAATCGATTCTGTTTTTTTTATAAATCGCTATTCTTTCCATTGTTTGACTTCCTTTATTTAAGTTAAATATCGATGACCCAAAGGATGTGAGGTAAAAGTCAATAATCAAAAGACTTGTAAGACAATTTTTTTGATAAGTAAATATTTATAAAAAAGAAGTTTGTTAATAATTTCATACAGCTTTTCAATCCAAAAGGAAAATTTAATAAAATAACTACATAAAAAATTTTCGAATGGCATCGAGCTAAATCCATTTAAAATGTTCTATTTATAAACAATTAAAAATTATCGCCTCTAACTAGATGCTGGCTGCTCCACTGTACGCATTTATTTTCAGATAAACATTTGCTTTTATTTTAACCAATTGCACTTGAATTGTGGAAATAAAAACATCAATTGCTTACGTCCACACAAAATGTAAATCATTTGGTTGGCCCATTATTGAGCGTAAATGTGCGAGTAAATTACTTAAATTTTGATTTAAGCAATTTTCCAAAATTATAAGTAGTTGATTGTTGTTCACTACGCAATTAAAAGAAGAAAACAATAATAATAATTACTACTATAAATATCACACACATACTTCCATAGATACAGATATACAGATACATATTGAAATGATTTGTTTGCTCACACCTTGATTGCACATATGTACATATATATGGATAGAATATGTATGCATAAATATTTAAATATATTTATATATACATATATATATATATATTTATTTATATCTATGTATATAGATTTATATGTACATATGGTGTTGTATGTAAGTATGGTGCTTACGCGATGAGCCAATTAAGTGGCTAATAGCTGTGATGGCGCAATTAACGCAACATTTAATTATGCAAACAGTTCGTCTATTTGTTGTTGCTTTAATTAACCAGGCCATTCGCCATAGCAATAATTCAGCAATGCGATCGCCAACACCTGGAAGTTCTCAATGAAATGCGAGGAATTCATTCGAAATCTTACAAATTGGCTTGGATCGCAAGTTAAGCCCAATGTAAATAAATTAATGTATATGTAAATATGTACATACATATACATACATATTTTGTGGGAACTTAAATACTACATGCGTATGAAAAAATTCGCTTATTGAGTATTTATTGGAAAATATATTTGCACACTTGTGAATCGATTTATGTTGTTGTGATGGATTGATGAATTTTTTGTTAATGACCACTGCCTCATAACAATTGGCCGGCCAATTAAGCCATCTCGGCATGTGCCAGACAAATGGCTCCCCCGCTGTCACTTAACTAAGGAAATACTCAAATAATAAGCTTTCGGTCTAAATTTAAATCATTTGTTTACTAATTTAATTAATTTTCGCGGTATAAACGTCTCCAACGGCGTTGCTTATGCACCAAATTAATCATAAGATAAAAAAATGGCGGAACACAGTCGCTAAAAATGAGCTTCAATAGCCATTGACGAAGAGATATAGTTATTCATGCAATCTGTGAATGCTGGTAGACCGACGACATGTATCCAGTGGACCACTATCTGATAGCAGCAAGGTTACGCACTCATCAGTTAGTTAACTGTGGAATGGCATTTCAAGTTCCCTGCGTATGAACAGCTGCAAACGAAACTATTGGTTTCCGGAAAGGTCGCACAAACAACTGGTACGATGAGGATTGTCACGCCAAAGTGTGAGAGAAAACAGGCTGAGAATCTCGCAACGTGGCAAGCGACCTCTACGCGAAAATTGAAGAGAAGAACAAGACATGTGTATATACAGACAAAAAATAAGGAAGAGGTCAAGATGCTTGAGTATAAAGATCTTGAGAAGCTGGTCGCCAGTGGTGATGCTCGAAAATCTATGAAAAGATACTACGACTTACAAAAGGTTTGAAGCGAACTCTTGTACTCTTCAAAATTCAAAAAAGTGGAACATCAGGAGATAAAGAACCGATTCTTCAATCGATGACGATGGAACAAGTATTTCTTTGCCCTACCATGAAGAAGTTCGAATAGCAATCGCCAATTTGAAAAACAACAAAGTAGCAGTGTCGATTGATGGTCGATTGAACTATTCAAAAGAACTGCCCGACGATCGGAACCTGAGTGTGTTCTTTCCCATCCGCGAAAGGGAAGATCATGCAAACTGCGACAGCTACCGTGGGAAAGACCTCCTCAACATCGCATATATGGCCCTATGGAGCGTATGGTGTAAAAGGCAAGAAACTGATTGGGATTTAGACCTGGTAAATCCTTTTACCACATTCAACGAGCAACAACATAAGTTTTATTAGGGTTGGGAAGGAGCTCTCCCAGCCATTGATAATCAAACGAGTTGTCACACAAGACAATCACTTATTGCGTGTTTCCCTTAACTTATTTCCGGAGAAAATAATACGATCTGCAGAACTGAATGCAAAAGTAACAATCTTCTATAAGCATCCGTGATGTGAGCTCTTCTTTCTTATTTATTGTCATCAAGCAAACAGTCATCGCATTCGCGAACGATTAATGTTGACAGTCCTAACTTTGAAATCATAGATAACCCAATGTATATTGACACCAGCCTTTATATCCACAACAATGTCAGCCTTGAAATTCAACGCAAAAACGCTCTTGCAATAGCTACTTTAAACTGAGTAGGCAATTGAAAAGTAAAATCCACCCTCGACGAACGAAAACCAAACTCTGCTAGTCGCTAGTCATCCCTGTCGTATTACACGGTGTGTCCCACGGTGTGTCTTTAAAAGTTATTATTTATTCAAAATAAGTTCCATTTGACTCAACACAACGTTTGGAACGATCAACCAGCGCATGCATTTTTATGTCATTTATAGAAATGTTCTTCAGTACCTCGGTTACGGCTGCTTGAATGGCTGGGATATCATCATAAAATGCTCCCTTCATCTTGGTTTTCAGTTTTGGAAATAAAAAATAGTCACATGGTTTTAGATCAGGCGAATACGGAGGATGGTAGATTTGAGAAATTCCTTTTTTCATCAAAAATTTTACCGATTTTTTGGTCCTCATTTAATTCATGTGGAACAAATCGCGCACAGACATTTCTTTTCCCCAAATCTTCAGTTGAAATTCTCCAAATAGTGTTTTTACTCGTTTTCAATTCCTCAGCCAACATTCTCGTAGTAAAATTGGCATCGATACCAATGATTTCACGGACTTTTTCCACCAGTTCAGCACGATTACTAGTTTCTGGACGTCCTGCTCTAGGGTCGTCATTTAAATCTTCACGATCATTTTTAAATCGTGTAAAAAAACGTATAAACTTGCGCACGACTCATACAATCATCACAATAAACTTTTTTCATTCAATTTTTTTCAAGTTTGACACAAAATTTTATATTTGCCCTTTGTTCCATTTTATTTTTGTACCATTAGCACACTTTTGGTTTTATTGAAATGTCTGTCACTTTTACATCTGTCATCCGACTTACATGATGTTAGGTGCGTTTGAAAGAGGATGAATGTATCTTTTTAATGTTGCAAATTNATTTTTGAAACAATTACTGACATGGGCGATGAATTCTAGCAACATCTGTCATCCGACTTACATGATGTTAGGTGCGTTTGAAAGAGGATGAATGTATCTTTTTAATGTTGCAAATTCAAAGAGTTCAATAGATGGGGCTGAATTTTGTATGATTTATATATAAAGTTCGGTTATTTTTAAGACACACCGTGTATATGGTGAGCAGGCAAGACCGATGATAAAATGTGGTGGGTTAAGTTGTTAACGGCGAATACCGCCACCGGTGGATCGATGTGCTGCCGAAAACATACGGCGACATTAGCATAGCTCAGAGAACCAAGAAACAGCGTCTACTCGGGCTAGTACATGTGGCCCGGACTATATTGGAAAAACCAGATGGAGTAGTATCTGGCAATCACACTAAATAAACTAATTAAAAACCAATCCAATTTGAAACTAGTATATAAGAGTAATTAAAAAGCTTACCTTACGTCACTTGGTACCGAAGATGAAACTGAAAAAGAAAAACGAAATAGAAATTAAATAACGATAAATACGTTTAAATGCATATTTATTTTAAATACCGTTACTGATAATCAAAAGCAAATTTAAAGACAGTCTGTCGAGCTTTATTTTACCCAGAACACAGTTCAATCACCTTTAAAGGAGAGAAGACATTTTTTCTTTCGAATATTACCACACTTAATTGCACCATCCTTGACAACAATTGACAGAGATTTTAATCTATTCAAATTAAAATTGAATTACACTAAAACCGCTGAACACGTTACGACAAACCAAAAATATGCATAATACATAAAATATTATATGTGGTCTAGTAAAATGTAATCCATTATTTTTGCAATAGATAATAGAAAAGCTTTAGTAGTCTGTACCTCGCTTTCTATAAGTGCGATTGGATTACGCTTGACGATGTTAGAAAGATGACAATTTTTACTAAAAAGCATAATAGATCACTTAACTCAGTGGTGTTTGAACACAAGTCAAAGATGGAGATGTAGTTAACGAGAAAAACCTCGTGGACTGAACATGATCAAAATGGACCCATTTCTGAGTCAAATGGTGACAGGTAATGAAAAGTAAATAACATAAACAACATAAAGTGAAAACAGTTATGGTCGAAGAGCAGCAATCCTTTCGACCAAGCTCTCAATTCGGACCTGTGCTGCCAGCAACTAAATTGTCATAGGGAAAGAATCTCTCAGAAGCAGACAGTTTTGACACACAGGAAGGAGTTCTCTTTCATCAGAACAACGAAAGGCCACACACATCGATAATGACTCGCCCGAAGCTGCGAGAGATTGATTGAAAGTTTCGCCCCAAGTGATTACCCTTTATTGCTATCTATGGCGAATGATTTGGCTGGTGAAGAATTAGCCTCAAGAGATGCCTATGAAATGTGAATGAGACATAATGAGATTACCTTAAACATGGAAAATGCTACCGGGCAAAACAATGCAATTTTGTCATAAATGATTCTTATTATGGTAAATGCTGAACAATAATTATTGGACAAAATTATTGGAACTCAATTTAATTGTAGTTAGTAGATTTAGTGTAGCTGTGAAGCGTGATTAGTGAGTATTCTTAGAAGAAAATGATATAACTCTTTAGAATACTTCGTCGCTAATCGTTGTTCCTTGAAGTAAACGTCTTCTCATTGTGGCCTTTTAGTTGATTTGGGGAGATAAACTTAGTCTTTTCACTCGTTTTCTGCTGCAATATTACAATAATAGCTTTTAAATAAAATCGAAATTTTAACTGTATTTTAAAAATATTATTCTTGGATATATGAGCTTTCAGCTCCCGTAAAAAATACATACAGCTATTTATGGCTTTGATATCAAGCAAATCTATGAATATAAATTTCCCATAAAATTCTCCATGTATTGAAATTTTTGTTTTGAACGACGAACTCAGCGTTACCAACGTCCCGTCCAACCGAGCGTGGTGCGCATCTGAGGAATAATCGAAAAATACACAGATCGGTGAACGAAAACTAGTAACAGTCCGGACTACTCTGAAAGGTCGCTATTACACTTGCCGCTACAGATTTGTTCGTCAGCTGCTATAAAATGGGGGAAAGGAGAGGGAATTTATTTAATTATTTAAAGCACTCAGTAAGTAGGTTTTGATACAGAAAAGCGAGTTATTGGAATCGATTTTGGAGATTGGAAAGATTTTCTGGAGAAACTCATATATTCGCACTTATTTACATTTAGGTACATACAGTTCGCATCGCACCCCCTAACTAAATTATTGGATGCATGCATAAGTTCATGGCCGATTCCGCTGGATGCCATTCGAATCGTTTGAGAGCGGCGCTCGTGAAAGAAATCTATACATCTTATATATCGTTGGAAAGGTGACAGTCCGAACTGTAAATCAAGCATAAAATAACTTGAAAAGACGCATGGAAGATGGACAACGAAAAAGATCATATGCGTCATATTATGTTATACGAATTCCGCAAAGGAAAAAAAAGTAGGCGTTGCAACTAAAGATATTCGCGAAGTTTATTTGGACCGTGCTCCAGCACTCCGCACAGTAAAGAAATGGTTCACGAAATTTCGTTCTGGAGATTTTAACCTCGAAGATCAACCTCGCAGTGGACGGCCTTCTGAGCTTGATGACGATGTTCTAAAGACTTAAGTTGCGAATAACTCACGTATTTCTACGGAAGAGGTTGCCAGTGAATTGAACGTCAACAAATCAACTGCGTTTCGTCGTTTAAAAAGGGTTGGGTACACTTTGAAGCTCGATACATGGGTGTTACATCAGTTGAGTGAAAAAAACAAAGTGGACCGTATGTCAACAGCAATTTCTTTGCTTCGACGGATCAACAACGAACCTTTTTTGGATCGGCTCGTGACTGGTGATGAAAAATGGATCCTGTACAACAATGTTCAACGCAAAAGAACATGGAATAGGCGCACGCTGGGAGTGGATTGCCGGACATGATGGCGAATTCATAATTGATTAATAAAAGCGCTTTCTTCAAAAAATTTCAATTTTAGTTTGCACTTGAAATCGGGCACGAACTTATGCACTCATCCAATATTAAGGTCAAGTTGCAAAAGCTCTCTATCTCCAATAGAGTAAAGAGTATGACATCATTTGCGTACATAAGTATTTTAGAATGAAGATCCACACTGAAAGGTCACTCATGTATATATGGAACGGTAAGAGGCCGAGGTGACTGCCTTGAGCAACACCAGACGTCACTGCTATTTCACGTGATGCACAATATTTAAATATATCTTTTTGGTTTCTACCAATCAAGTACGATAAAATTTACTTGAGAAGGGAAGATGGAAGTGAAGTAAAGGATGAGAGACCTTGTCAAATGCTTTGCTGAAGTCAGTGTAGATAACATCTGTTTGATTGCCATTTTTGAAACAATTACTGACATGGGCGATGAATTCTAGCAAGTTCGATGGTGTAGATTTTACTTTACAAAACCCATGTTGAGAGATGTCCAAAATTGAAGAGACAGAATGAGCTAATTGATCAGTTATGATAGCTTCGAAAATTTTAGGGATAAAACATAACTTTGCTATCCCCCTGTAATTACCTATATAAGATCTACTACCACAAAAAAGGGAATAAATTTTGCTTTAATGAAGCATTGAATATGTTCGTCAATGGTATAAAACAGATTCAGCATAAAATTTAAGTACACTAGAAGGGATATTATCCGGACCGCATGTGAATGAGCTCTTAACGGCATAAAGATGGTTATAAACAACATCATCGGATATATGTGGACCTTTAACTCATTCAAAAGAAGGCATTAAGTAAGGGTAAATGAATGGCTGCGCGGTGGAATTTATGTCTGTAAGACTTCATTATTAATTTATATGTATGTTATATGTTCCAGATATTTAGCAAACAATTGGCCACAGGCCCACTTTTCGGAAGAAAAAGTTGTTTATAGTACATGCCAGTATAGGCAAAGAGCTGCCTATGAAAAAACCAAAAGTTCAATTTGTTCGAACAAATCCATCCTCCAGGAAGAAAAAGTGATAATTTGTGCTTAAAACTACTTCTGTAATAAATTTTATGTATGTAAATGAAATGTTCGCTAGATCGGTACCAGATCCACTTCCCGGTGGAAAAAGTGTTTACCATATCAATGCAGGGCAAGGGTTACCTATGTACCAAATTCCGTTAAAGTCCAAATTCGCATGCCCATTTCCCGAAGATCCTTTCTCATTGCGTGCATAGCTCATACGCCCAACACAGACTCCAAGTATTGTAGAAGGTCTCTATGATCAGTGAGTTGTTGCTTCAGTCATTCAGGACACAGCTTTTTATATATGTATATAGACAAATTTAACTAGGTAATTTCGACTCAAAAAATTTGTGAAGTTATGTTTAAATAATTTAGGTAATAATAATTTCCTAAGGGAGAATTAAACATGGATTTGGTATCACTGTAAAATTCAAAATATTTTTAACATGTCGCATAAATTAATGTACGATGCTTAAATGCTAATTTATTGGAAGACTTATATATATGTATGTACAAGAAACTACTCCATTGGGCAATGTGAAAAATCGAAATGAAGGGGAAAGAATGTGCGAAATAACACGCGACTGACAAGATAGATTAAAACCGCTAAAACTCATTTGAAGTGATTTAAGTTGTTTAATACCATCGGGGTTGACGCGGGGAAAGCGGCGGCATTACGAAATTTGCGCAATCTTTTGTAAGTTGTGTATTTGTTTCGAAGATGTACTATATACTTACATACAAATTTTTGGTGTTTGTTTTGCTGAGTTCCTTATATTCTCTTATTTGTTATCGTTAGCAAAATATATGTAAATATGTATATATGCTTTGGCGACTTTGTGTGTATTTGGGCGCTGAGAAAATTTCCAAGCTTGGGTACATTGTTGTAAGTGTTTGCATTATCATTATGAAGTTCTAAGAAAACAACCAGTGACAGTGGAAATTAAAAAATTTTAATTAATTGCTGCCTCTCACTGCCGCCGTTCATGTTGCACTTGAGTGAACAAACTGACGGTCCACAAATGTCGCCACGGTTAATAACTAAAACGTTTTATTTCATAAAAAAAAATTGAGTAGAAACAAAATTACTGCTAAAAAAAAAGGTTGTGGGGGGCCGCCGAATTTATCCATTCACATCGTCTAAGTGAATGTGAAATCTCTGCTTCTTGGGCTAAGCTGAAATTTTCCATTTTAGCCAACGAAACCATATTGGGTTTGGCATGATTGTGTACCTTCAATAAATATCAGACTATTGTTAATGTTAATTTTGTGTCCTTAACTTCATGTCACGTCAAGTACGTTGGCCGGCCTTGAATGTGTTTGTAGTCTAAGAGTACACAAAAGGTTAAGGAAAAACGCCGAAAGTTGAAATGTTGGCGAGGCTGATGCGACAAAGGCAAAATATATATATGTATATGAAAAGTCAAATCGTACGCGTGTTCAACATAATAGTTTGCTCCCCTGATTTCCAAATACTT